GGTGGATTTGAACCGTGCGCCTCTGGGATTGCAGTGCAGCTTCTTCTCACCAGGCTACAAGAGCTCCCAAAATTGCCACCTTTAAGATACTATGATCAATTTACCACAATGATGCAAAACAGACGCAGCTTCAAGAAACCCTGAAGGGCTCTCACACACACGGCAAAAATAAAAACGTCTGCAAGTATCTGAGTTCCCAAGACAGAATGACAGGTCGCCTATGAGACATGATGAGGTAAGAATAATTGTTTATTTTTCTTAGTGACCTGTCCTAGTTATCGAGAGTTCGCAGGGACCCAGGGAGGGCTGAGGATTGACTCAACACACTCTTATAATCCTTACATTCATGCAGCCTTTTCTGCAGGGAGATTATAAAAATGTCCGGTGAGGAGGGAGGGATGGCTAGCTGTGTCTTCCAGTGTTGATGGACCTAAGAGGGGTCTGCTGTGTGAATCCCTGCGGGTCCTGTTGGCATGTCATTGTGGAAAGGTTGCCCCAAATTCCTTACATTCTGAGGGTCTATCTTGAATAAAATCTTCCCTGTATCAGGGTTACTAAGGGTTTCCTCCATTCCTGACATTCCTAAGTTCTCTGTTTTATGGGACTTTTGATGTGTAATCAACTATGCTAACTGTGAAAAAGTTTTGCCACATTTCTAACATCCCAAAGTTCTGTCTCTCTTTTGGGAATTCTTGCATGTATACTTAGAAAAACCTCCAGAAAAAAACAAAATGTTTTCCCCACACTCCTCCCATCCGTAAGGTCACTCTCCTCTGTGAATTCTTGGATTTTCTTTTGACAAGCAGACAGAGACAATTATTTCTCACATTTCTCTTTTCTTTTTAATTTTATTAATTTTGTGTACCTTCAAATAGGATGACTGGTACAGAAGGAGACTGTCTGTCCTTCAGCACAGCATCGGATGGATTCAAACCGAGTACCTCAGGGATTGCAGAGCAGCTTCTCGCCACTAGGCCACCAGAGAGCTCCCTTCTTTCTCATGCTCTTCAGATTTCCCTTGTTTGAATTATTCCGGGTCTACGTTAGTTTCTTGATTTTGAAAATGTTTTTTGCACATTCCTCTCCTGTATACGGTCTCTCTTCCGTGTGAATTCTTGTACGTTCAAGGAGGTAGGGAACTAGACGGAAGGTGCACTGACATTCCTTACGTTTCTAACGTCTCTCAAACTCTTTTATGGACACGTAGGGTGGAAGAGGCACAAGAAGTTTCCCCACACTCTTCACATTCGTAAGGTGTGTCTCTGTGAATTCTAAGGTCTCTCCTGTGTGAATTCTTCTATGAGCCCGGAGGTGACCTGACTGTGGAACGCTCTTCGCACAGTCCTGACATTCATAAGGTCTCTCTCCTGTGTGCGTTTGTGTGTGTCTTTTGAGCCGACTTGAATATATAAAGGTTTTTCCACAGTGCTGACATTCACACGGTCTCTCTCCCGCGTGAACTCGTGTATGTATATTGAGATGAGCAGAGGTTGTATACGTTTTCCCACAGTGCTTGCTTTCAAAACATCTGTTTGCTGGGTGAATTCTATGAGCCGTGATGTCACGTGGTTGCACGCATGATTCCTTACTTTTCTTACCTTCAGAAGGTCTCTGTCCTACGTGATTTCTTGCATGGACAGTTTGATAAGCACATGGAGGAAAGCTTTTCCAACACTGCTTACGTTCAGATAGCTTCTCTTCTGTATGTGTGCGTGCATGTCTGTTTAGGCTGGAGAGAGAACGGTAGGATTTTCCACAGGCCTCGCATGGAAAGGTCTTCTCTGCACTGGGAAGGCTTCGATCTGCTGGGACATGCAATGTACTCCTTACGGAGGAGGAATAAAGCAAGGCAATTCTCATTTTCCCTAGATTCACGAAGCTTACAGGGTAAATGAAAGGCTTCGTGGGAAACTAAAGGAAAAGGATTCACATAGGTTTCAGAGCTTTCTGTCCTTTCATGCTTGTCCACGGCATGCATCCAAAATAACGAGAAGGTGCAGAAATGCTGCCCACACGTGTGACAGGCATAGCTGCTCTCACCAATGCGAGTCCTCAGCGGGTTCACCTCCACAGCACTGCTTTGCCAACAGGGAAGATGTGGAATTCTGAGGAAGGTTTCCCCAGGGTGGTGTCCACCATCTCTTCACACAGGTCACTTCTGGGGAAAAAAAAACAGAAAAAACAGACAACACGTACTTGTACATAAATATGCTCCCACTGACACACGATAAAGAACAATGAAGACGTGTGGAACTTCCCTCAAAGAGGCTGATATATCACAAGCTAACAAAAATGCTCTTTCTGGAAGTGGTTTCATCAATCCTGAGACTTTCTGACCGCTGACTCCAAGTGACCATGCTTCCTACAAGGTTTTATTTCTCATCTGCAGGATACTCACCTCAAGCTGTCCTGTTGGTTTCTACGTCGATCTTTTCCGCCAAGGACTTTTGCAAGTTTTCCTGACAACGGGGAGACTTTAAGAGTTTCAACTGTGTACCTTCAGAGGATAATGCTTTTCCATCAGGAACGTTTTCAATGCCTGCCACAAAAATGAAGCCACATTGGACACGATGACACAGAGAGGAATGACGTAAGAGAGGAGAGACTCCTGTGAACAAACACGAATGTACGCACAGTTTTGACTTTCAGCACTTTCCTAATGAGAAACAACTATTCCCTCGGCAGCGTTTGAGACACAATTAAAGGTGTTACGCTAAAATAACATTCCTCTGGGCAGGTACGGAGAAAGAAGACTCCTAAAGTACATGTAACATACTATCACAGAGTCCACACACAGCATGACACAGCACAGACATACCATCTCATAGCATACACATCACATCATACTGGACACCAATTATAGAAAAAAGAGAAAAGTGGCTCCGTGACTGAACTGCCAATGAAGAAAAAGAACCTACAATGATGTCTTACATTGTCTCCTCAACCTAAAAGAGACGTTATCGACTTGGCGCACATAAATGATCCAGCAGGATCAGTGGCAAATTCACGACTGCATAGTGTTTCCCACCCCAGCAGTTCTACGCCCACTGCTCCAAAGACTTTCGTCTGACACCTAAGCCATCAAGCTGATAAACTTAGGACAGTGACAGACCAGAGTCCCTTGAATCACAAGAACAGAAAATGTATCACGAGACACAGAGACCACATGAACGGGTCATTCTCCATACAGGAGTGCCCAACGCCAGGGCACCATGCCTGTCTTAGAGAAACTTGCATTCCAATTCTTCAGTCCAAGTTCAAAAACAATGTTCATGAATTAATTCTGGGTGCATGAAAAGATTTCGAAATATAGAAAAGGCAATTTTTACCGATAAAGTCCAGGGTTCTCATTGTGACCATCATCACCTCCCTGTAGTTTCTTCTGAGGGACATTCAGCAAAGCCCACTCTTCCTGGGTGAGGAAGATGACCACGTCCTCCAGGAACAGTGGTGCCTGAAACACAATAAGACCAGGAGCAAAGGAGGAACCTGACACTCAAGAAATCACACTGATATGAAAATAAGTTTTAGTTTCTATCAAGACTGAAACCGAAAATCAGACGTCAGACTTGTTCCTTCACTTTGTACATTTGCTGCCTGATTAAACTCTGTCAGAATCATCACAATGTCACAATCTGACATCTGTCAGATTGAGCCTATTCTGAAAATACCTGCATCTGGTGTCTACGGTTGAATGTTAAGGGCATATTCCTAGTCGAGTGTTAACTGTTTATTTTCTGTTGAAGTATTGATTCGGTGACGGGGAAAGGATTACAATGGGATACACCTGACTAGAGGATTACAGAAGCTCACAGGACTTCAGGGCTGGTCTCTCCCTCTTTGGAACACCAGCTCTCCTGGAACACAATGTCCAGCATCTGCATCCAGCCTGGCCCATTGCTCACCACTCTCTGCACCACCAGCCTGCATCACACAGTCACCACGCAGATGCTCCACACAGTGCCCAGGACAGTGTGCCATCGCTCACCAGTGTCCACAAAACCAGCTTGCATGTTTGCACATAAGGGAAATAGTTATCATGTTAGTAATACCTCTAACAGTACAAACCCTGCCCCTAAATTAGCCAGTAATCCTGTAGGAAGATACTATATGATTAAATGTTTAATCATATAAATAGAATGTAAATGTATCACCGAGCCCTGTTTTTCTAGTGTATCAAAATTCTTTCATGATTAACTGTGCCGTTGTAATGCTGTGTTTAACAGGGAATGTGGTTAGTGAAAAGAAGATAAACCTGGATGTAACTGTAAATTTAGTTTAACAAACGTTTGAAGAAAGATTTCAAATTGTATCTGCCTCTCTTATAATTTGGATCTCTTCTTATGAACACAGTGCTAACATGAAGACCTTTCTCTGCACGATATGCAAACAGGGTAACTGCAGCAAAGCCACTTGCAGTTCTTGAAGGTATATCCAGGTTGATGACAGCAATTGTGTTTACATTTTATGATGCCTAATATTGACAAAATGTTACTTTCCGATATTAAACAGATAAATCCATAGACCATTAAAAAACAAAACAAACCAGCCTGCAGACCTACCGACAGGTAAGTCATTTTCCTGACGTATCTGAGTCTGTGAGAGACCTTCCTGCAAATATCTGAACATAAGGGAGAAAGTGGTAACAAAGCAGAGAGTCGTTGAGGAAGGCCATGATGGACGTGTATGCCGGGTCAAGCACATGGGACGACACTGCCTTGACACTTGTTATACCTGGTCCGCCGCTATTTCTACCAGAACAAATCATACACCCAGTGTAAGGACTTTCAGTGGGACTATATGCACACTTATTCCAGGGTCTGCAACACAGAGGTGAAATATAACAAAGTTAGGAACATCAGTCATTTAGAAACAGTCCATTTCATCTCTTTTGAAAAGATGTCTAAGAAGAGCAGACAAAATAGAGTCCACACTAAACAGAGGACGATGTAGTCTTATCACGGAAATACACCAAGACAGCTTCTTTCAGATGGTCTCCCTTTAGTGTCATTTTGCAAAAGAGAACGAGAACAATGAGTGCTGAGAAAACAAAAATAAATGTCTTTTAAAAGAACTATGAGCTAATCCATGGCCATGACTGATTTCCAAACCCCCCTGGTTCTTTGGTGTTTTTTCCCACCTCATCCTTCTGTCCAGAAAAGAAAGTTTAATAAAAATTTGAAAAAGAGCACAGGGAAGACAGGTCACAGGGAATCCAGATGTCTCCAAAATGAAAAGTGTCTGGATCTCACAGCTCAGGACAACAATAATCTGTGATTATTTCTCTCAAACACAGCCACACAAAAAGAGGCGACCTGAGGATTGAGAGACTACTTCTGAAGACACAGAACCAGGACATTC